GCTGCGGCTTCGTCAGAGTAATTCCAGAAGCCCTTTCCACACACCTACTGCCGATCTATTTCCAACCCGCGGCAATCATCCTGTATCCCGATTTCCCGAGACGCGCGCGGAAGCACGGATATACCATGCAAATATACATGAGACGAAGTACAAGGGTGTCTCAGCATCCATGTCGCGTATACTCCGCGTCTACGGGTGCCGGTGCCGGCTGTTGTATATTGCTTGCTGCAGCTTGTGCTACGGCTGTAGACAACGTGCAGTCTCCGTATGCCGGGAATCGAGGGGCATGGAGGGGAGATAGGAGGGTGGGTATGCGAGCGACTGGGCCGCTCTCGCCCGGTGTCGGTGGATGGAGTCGTCCTAGGCATTTGCATATCGGATCTGCGTTCCAGTGATGCGCCGAGCCCCCAATGCTGTGCATACTGTGTATTCCACGATACAGGAGCGTCACGTCAACGCTCCCCAACGTTGCGATTAGTTCCCATGCATCCAACACGCGCCCTGCGCCCCAGAATCCTGCGCCGCACCACCAAACTCATATTCGTTCCCCAGCCCAAACGGCGTCTCTAGCATATCCGGTAAGTTTGTATCCCACATCATGTCGTCCCAGAAGTTGTTCAGAATAGTCGGGTCGTTGCTGGCGCTGGCCCAGGTAGGTGTTGCGGGGTTGTAGTGGTGGCCGAAGGAAGAGGGATGCTGTTGTTGGGGTTGCGACATCGATGGGTGCTGAGGTGTGTAGGCGGCGGCATGGGTGTTGAGCATGGAAGGTGCGGTCGAAGTACCGGGGATGGCGAAGTGGGTGTGTGTTTGGCTGTGGGAATGAGGTTGTTGTGGGTGGTATTGCTGGGGGTGCGGGATGTGTGCCATAGTTGGCTGGGTTTGGTGTGATAGTGTAGAGACGTTCGTTTTGTACGCTGCGTAGAGCCGGGTTACTGCATCGCCGCTTCTTTTCGCTGCGATACTCCAGTCTTTGACTGTCTCGAAGAATGTGAGTGCTGTTTCGATACTGGTCTTCCATTTTTCGGCTTCTTCTGGTATGCTCGTGTCGCTGAAGAGGGAGACGAGTGGGACCATGCACGCCTGAAAGCAGAACCATACTGCGTTCCAACCGGAGATGAGGTCGGGCATGCATTCTTGGCTGATTTCTTCGATAGTCTTGGAGGCGATGAGTCGGCATTTGCCTACTGCAACCTTTTCGTCTGCGCTCAGGGCGACCCATGGGGAACGTCGAAGTGCGGCGGTGAGCAAGATTGGGCGGTGGAGGATGATGCGGATGTTCTGGAACCTCCACTTCATGACCAAGCGCGTTCGTCGGAGAAACTCTGGACACGGCTCATCGGGGTTGGAAAGGATTGATGGTAGCTCTTCATGCCACTTTACAACCTGCGCGTCGTAGCTAGCTGTCTCCGCAGAGGAAAGGAGTGGCGACTCGACAAGTCGGTCCTGTATCCTGGTAGCGATCTGACAGAATGCTGAGGCATGAACTAGAGGAAGGATCTTGAGCTGCTCGATGTACTGAGGGCTATTGGGTGGTGGAATACACTGAGGCTATCGTGACGTCAGTATTGCGCTTTGAAACATGCATCAGTAAGTCTTACAGCGTTCACAGCCGTGCCCGGTCTCAGAACAGTGATGGAAGGACCCATTCTCCCCAGCGAAGGCCGTCCAGTCGTAGTGGAAGCCCATGAATCCAGGCAAAACAGACTCCACCAGATACGCCGGCGCATCTCAGGAGATATCGAGTCTTCCTCGCCCGGGGCCATGAACTGTCTACTCGCGTCGCTCCGCTCTGAGTACTCGCGATGCAAACCAAGTGCAGTAGCCATGCGAAGCGTACCACCCATCAACGAATGCGCTTCATTCGGGCGGTTGAGATAGTGCATGTAGTATCCGCTCATGATAGCCAGAGCCTGGAGGACTTCCAGATTGCCGCTTCCGAACGACTCGAGAGACAGATGCCGCCGAGATCGGTTGAAGTAGACATAGTGAGCTTCGTTGTCCGCAGCTAGGGAGGCAAGCGACCCCAGCGCGAAGACCATGTTGAGTAGTGCAAGCCATGCTGAGTCCTTGCGGTTACCGTACAAGAATGTAGACCAAAACTTGCGCTCATCGATCATAGGACAAAAAGGATGTACGCGGTCGAAGTAGCTCTCAAGCAGTTCTTGGCCATGCTGAGGAGGCGGTAGAGCATCAGGTCTGTTATCTGCTAGCTCTGGTGGCGGTGAGCCTGCACGGCTTGGTAGCGCAGTCTCCTGGCTGTTATGTGCGATTAGTGAACGTGCCTGAGGCGCGCATCGCACGATAACCTTTAGTGCGGCTGTGATTGACGAGATGCCAACGTAAGAAGACAGGCGGTCGACCGACATTGACAGCCCGTTCACATCGTCGGAGATGCCTTGGACACGGAGTTGGTGCTTCCGTGCCTCGTCCCAGTAAGGATCTTCAGGCGGCGCCTGCTCGAGCGCTTCCAAGCTCTCGGCTCCATCAGATCCAGCTTGGGCGTCGGATAAGGCTTGCGAATCGGCCGCCGATGGTGATGTCGTTGGGTGGTTTGCTGAGGATGACAGAGCCAGTTCTAGCAATTCTTCCCGCGGAAGATTAGCGAGCGATTCCAGGTTCTTGACTCCGTACAGCTTTGTCAAGATGGTCTTGTACTGTTCGATGTTGTTGGAAAGCTTGTCGACTAGTCTACCAAACTGATTAGCGCCAAATCTGTCCTGGCAGTGTTCTAGAATGCTCACTTTCTGCTGGGCACAACTCGCTGTGCAGGCTTCGAATAGCCACATGCCTCAGGGTGCTGATACCATTGGCATTGTCCGCAAGGTTGTGAACCGTCACACCGAATCTTGCGTCTCCTGCATTCGACACAGGCGTTGCTGGTGGAAATCCGTCGTGAGCCAGGCGGTCGTGATGGTTTTCCCGCGCTGTCGCTGTCTATTCCGGGCGAGCGCATACCCACGGACGACTGGAAGGTATGGAACATGTTGCGATGACCTCGGTGGTACGTCGGCTGGCCACGCACTCGACAACCACGAGCTGAAAGAGAAAGAAGTTCAGGCCAGAGTTGTCAGACGACCCTGCAGGACGCTCGATGAAATATGTCGTGACAGGACAGTCTGGAGGGAGGCGAAAAACCAAGACGATGGTCCAAAGTACCAGTGGTACGTCCCAGGACCAATATAACAAGACTCGGAACTAAAACGTCGACGAACCGGGATCTGATATATCAGAGACGCTCGGTAGTGCAGTTTGAGCTGAACGCATACCATCTGCAGCCTGAATAAAAAAACGAGAAAGTGCACAGAGGCAAAAACGTAAACGTAGGTGCGTCTGGCTTCCAGGCATGTGCCGTCATAATCCTGCAGAAAGCTTGTGTGTATGAAGTCGGCGCGCGGAAGCTAGTCGCAAGTCGCAGTAGCAGGGCCGGAGCGACAAAACAGCCTTCCAGAGTGGACTATTCAAGAGGGTATAATCCCCGCATTATAGCCCACAGCACCCCGGTGATGCATGCAGCAGGGCTGACTGGTGGAGTTTGGCAAGATGAGGAGAAAAAAAATAAGTGCAGGCGACCGTTGAGACGGGCGGACGGGAAGGGATTGCGTCTTGCCTTGCTTCCAGGGCTTGCGAGGGGGAGGGGAGGGGGTGAGCCAAGCGAGATTGGTGTCGAGAGATGGGAGCGTGCCGCTGCCGACGGCTTCGAAATGCGTTCCAGAAGAGATCGCGCATGTCAGTTGCCTTTCTCGTCCGACGGGACATGAAGCAACCCTTTTTTCCCACCTGGCCGCCTGCGGCAGCACTACTGCACGTCGTTTCAGCGAGTGCGGATCCTTCCCGCCACGATCAAGCAGCGCGTACTCTCGATCGCATGTCCGCGGATGAGAAAGGATGGCGGGTCTACGTTAGAGAACTTGTACATGTGTGTGTGGATCTCTGGGGAGAGCGGGTGGTGCGCTGCGAACCTAAATTCCAGACCCAAACGTCGAACACCATGTTTCGGGTACTGCTCACCCGATCTATGAAGGCCGGTCATTACAGGCAAGCCGCGTTACAGGCGAAAGAACGAAGAGGGTCTGCGCGTATTCGCTACCACGGCCTTCTGCCGGCATATTCAGTATCCAAAATAAAAGTCCACATACCAGCGTCCGGGTCGCGATCCTTCCTGGGCCGAGAGCACAGCGTAGTTGCTGCGAACCGGCTTTGCGTGATGCATGCGGCTAGGATGCATACTGTCTGCACCCTCTACCCCATGCAGCAGTACTCTGACCACTACTAAGAGAGCGCTGAAGGAAAGCATCACCGGCTATTTGCAAGGCTTCGTAGGTACTGGGCATGTATGCTCTACCAGTACCACAAACACAAACACACAGAAAGAGAGAGAGGTCGTCCACCACCTTCCTATCAACCCTTCGCTCCTTCCCAAGCCTCTTGACCCGCAAACTGCACCACCATCGCTGCGAACTTTGGGAACCAGCTTTGCGTGACAGCATGCGGCTAGGTTGCATTTGCCTGCACCCCTCTACCCCATGCATGCCGCGTCCAACCAATGCGACATCCCGCCAGCAACGCCATTTAATTTACCCTGGAAAGATAGACGCCTTTCATATCCAGGCCTTGGCAGGCCAACATGACGACGGACCTATAGCAGCCTCACATATAGGCCGCCGGTTCAAACTCTATGTATGTACTCGACAATGCGTAGTATTACCGTTGAGTAATCCAGTAATTCGTAAATGTGTCGCTCCTTGCCTATAATGTCCGTATTCACAAAGTTTATGTTAGATCGTCCGAGATGACTCTATACGCAGGGCCGCTGGATGTTGCAAGTAATGATGTGGTGATGAAGGACTTGGAGTGCTGGCGCATCCGCATGCGCGAAGACATGTTCCTCTAACTACATGTATACTTTGCATTTCCACATACTCCACAGCATTGTGATCCTGCATCCTTCCCACCTCGTCAAGCAACCTCCACATTCCGAATCCACAGTTACGAGCTGATCGCTACTCTTTGCCCAAGTATGTCCACCTCAACGGTTCGTCCTGCTTACCCAGCCCCTTGACCTTGATGACTTGCTCATCGCCAGGAATAACATCTATAGCGCTGTCGTGAACGAGGACGCCAGAGCGCTCCTCAAAGACCAGACCCTTGGTCGGCTTCTGTGCCTTTACTGTGATAGTCTCGCCTTGGGGTACGACTTCCAGCCCGCGGTCCTTGAAATCCAGATACTTGAGTGGCTGCGGCCAATCGACGTCGCGCGACACGATTTCGCCATCGACCCATATGCGTACGGCTAGGACATGCGGCTCCTCGTTCCGGTTGTCGATCGTGCCTGACAGAACGTCGGTCGTTCCGTTCGGTACGAGCCTGATATCCTTCTTGACGATCTTATTCTTAATCTCCTTGCCGCTCTCAACGCTTATATACCGCAGCTCAACAGTTGCGACCACTTCTTCTAGCCTCTGACTCGCGACCCAGACTTCGTAGTCGCTCGTTGGGGGCACTCTGGCATGCACGACGCTCCAATCAAAATGCGCCCGTTTGACTGCCACAGCAATCGGGGCAAGTACGCGGCGCATGGCGTAGTAAGCCGGTTTCTTGCGCTGGAAGTAATCGACGATGGACCACGAGGTAACTGGCCAGCAGTCGTTGAGCTGCCAGACGAGTGCACCACCACAATGCCTGTTTTGTCCCCACTGGCGCCTCCAGCCCCTGTAGCCGAACATTAGTGCTTCGGCTTGCGACAGCTGTGTAAGGTGGATGAACGACTATTCGCTGTCAGTACCCTATACCGGCTATATTGCGGCCCACTTGGTCTAGTTCCCGACCATGAACCGGGTAACCGTCGGACGGCACGTACCTCTAGGTCGGTCTTGGTCCGGAAGTTTTCCACCAGATACGTGGCTATTCGCCGCTCGTGGCCGTCGGCCTTGTTGTGGAAATCAAGCATGTGGCTTTGCGGGTAAAGCTGAGAGGGGTCGGTGCAGTAGTACTTGATCGTGTCGATGTGTGGGAAGGCTTCCATGCCGAATTCGCTGTTAAAGCGTCCCCCGAGCGTGTCGAATATCTGGTACTTCTCTTGTGTGCCGTGCCATACTGTATCCATCGTTAGTATACTATATGTGAGGCAATGTGGAGATTATTACCATTCCACTGATGCATGTCACCCACTGTGGGGTTTGACGTCTTAAGTCCGTCGCCCCATGGTGACCCTGGGTGATATGGCACATGTGGGCTTTCCGCCGCAACGACGTCGGGCAGCAGCTACCAAAGTGTACTGTCAGCGTAATGGTATTTGCTAGTATGCGATACGCACGTACCTTTTCGTATATGTACCTGGCCGGGAAATCGGTCTTTAGCCAGTTGTCCGGGTTCTTGTCCTCGTAATCGTAAGTCAAGCCATACGACTCCTGCACCTGGTAGTCCTCATTGTTCCCCGCATAGATGATGATGGATGGGTGATGTCGCAATCTGGTGACGTTGGCAGTGCACTCTTCCTTGATTGATCGCAAGATGTCCGGAAAGGCGGGATAGTTGCCGCACCCAAACATGAAATCTTGCCACACAAGGACACCGAGTTCGTCGCAGAGCTCGTAGAATATGTCTTCTTCCCAGATGCCGCCGCCCCAGATTCTGATCATTATTTGGTAGCCATCGACCATCATCTCGAGCCATTTACGGTACTTCTCCTCGGTTACGCGGGGAGTGAATGAATCCGCGGGGATCCAATCCGAACCGCCACAGAACACATCGACGCCATTGACACGGAAGTAGAAGCTTTTGCCAATCGCATCCGGCTCCTGAATGAGTTCGCCCTTCCGGAATCCTGTTCGCCGTGATATCTGATGAACGTCTGTGCCATTGGCAAGGACCGTTGCAGTGACAGTGTACAGCGGCTGCTCGCCATAACCGTGCGGGTACCACAACTTGGGACTGCTGACATGGAAATCCACTTTAGCAATGCCGTCGCTTATTTTCGCAGTCTCTCTGAAGACACGTTGATCACCATCGTATACATCAAAGCTGACGCTATCCGCCGAGTCGCCCTCAACAGTCGCAGAAATGGTTCCTTGGACGGATTTGAGGCTATCATCGAGCTTATAGTCGACTCTCAGGTCCTTTGCTCGTGTTTGATAGGTCTCCAGTCGTACTTCGCGCCACGGACCGCAAGTGTTCAAGATCGGTCCCCAGTCCCAGCCCCAATGATACTGGGCCTTCCTCACGGCAAGCCTTGACATGTCGCCGTTGAATCCGATCCATCTGTGATCCGGATACTTCTCCTTGATCTTGATAGCTTCAAGACGTGCGGAGGCGAAGTCGATCTCCAAAGTGTTAACGCCGTCGGAGCTGAGCTTCTTAGTCACATCAAGGCGATGCGGGACGAACATGTTGTCGCTCTTCAGGACAGTCTCTCCATTGAGCTTGACAGTGGCGAAGGTGTCGAGGCCGTCAAATGCGAGTATATGTACGACGCCTTCCTTCGCCTCTGGTACTTTAGGCAGTTCGACTTTGTAGGTCCAGGTCTTGTCTGCTACCCATTCTGCTTCAAGTTCATTGAAGCCCAGGAACGGATCTGGAATTCTAGTCTCCGCGTCAGTTCTTCCAAGTTCATGTAGATTTTGGAATGTTGGACGTACTTCTCATTGTCCATCAGGTCCAGGTGAACATTCGTAGGGACCTTTTTGACTGGCATCCACGCATCCTTAGCAGAATCATCACCCTGCTTGAACGTCCATCCTTTCGACAAGACGTGAACGCTGAGAGCCTGTGCCTTCGCCATGATTCTTGTTGTTCAAGATGGTGGTAATTGTTCAGTCTTCTGACAGCACGGGAAGTGGCTGTCTGGTACTACCAATTGGCGGGGTAGGTACAATCACCTAGGCAGGGACGCCCTTCTCTTGAATGACGACCGAAAACCTCAACCATACCACATCAGACGTTTCACCACTCCGGAGCAAGCAGTGCCGCGTTGAGCTCCCTCTCGCGCTTAACGTGGTCAAGAAAGGAAGACGGAGTGCTTGCTCCGCGCCCAAAGCAGCTAGCGCGATACCATTTGTGGATCTGACGTCGGAAGATGCGGTCTTGAGCCGCAGTTCAGCCGTCCAGCGGCCACGAGGTGCAGGTATAGACGGCGAGTTGCGAGATGGTAGCGGTCCTGGTCGCTCCGTGTCGAATGCAGAAGTTGAAAGTGTTGTGTAGGATGGGAGAGGCGCGACGGCAGCGTTCCGGGTGGTGCAGCCCCACGCGGTGTGGGATGGTGCCGGCGTCGTGCAACCTCAGGATTGCTTCTTTAACAACGGAGGGTGAATAGGCTGCCGGCTTTCCGAGGCGGCATATGTGAGCATGCAGTAAGCCTTCGGCGATCAGGAAGTTAATGTAATGGGGGTTTTGAAGAAGAAATCGTATAAAGACAAAGGGTATAGAACTATCCGAGTATCAAACGACGGCAACCACCAGAGCTATCCAACCTTCAACTACTAGCAACAACGGAGTTTCCAGACCCCTTTTGACCATGTGCGACCGCCTTGCTACCAAATGTATGAAGCTGAAGCAGCAGCTACCACAGCCGAGATGAAGGCGAGCAAGCTGCCGTCGGGTCGGGAGATTCCCGATGCAGCGCTTCTCCGGACCTCGTCACTCCTGGCTTCGCTCATCATCATCGTAGTCTGTCTCTCGACCCTCCCATTCTGCGCCAACGCCAGCATCTTATCTCGACTCGTCGCAAGGATGGTTGTGGAACGCGCACCAGGGCAAAATACGACTTCGAAGCCGGCGCCAGAGGGGATGATGAAGGTAGAGAATTGGTCGTCGAATGCTGTTGTGGCTGTTAGTCATATTCATTCTAATTGTTCAGTGTGACTGAACGTACCATAGCTGTAAGCATCCGGACAGACGGCCTTGACGTTCTTGGAGTACTCGCTCGGTTCGCATTTGTTCGGGGAGTTGTATTCGCCAGTGCAGCAGTCCTTGGGCTGGTTGTTCTTCGCACATGCAGAGAAGCATGGGTTGAATTGCGGCCGTTGGATGTTGTCGTCAGGGTAAGGGTATACGCCGTCGCCTGGCTTCTCGGGAGGGCTCTGCTGTAGATCCCATGGACACCATTTGGAGATCTTATTCTCGTCTACGTCCTGGTCGAAGGAGAGTGGATACGAGGTATTCGTGCGGAGGAAGTTGGGAAATTCTGGGTACGGGTTGTAGCCCTGGGTAGCCAGGAGCCCGTCTGTGCCTTGACAAGACGGGTTGGTGAGGTTCGGAGGGATGTCGTCGAGCGTCACGTTGTCCAGCGGCTGGAGGACAATTGCCATGGGGACATTGTAGCCATCGACAAGTGAGATGTCGTAGTATGTGTTTCCGTCTCCGGCGTCCAACGTGAATTCGGCGAGCGAAACGGGTACGTCTCCCTGTGTCTGAGTCAGCGGGAGTCGGTTAGAAGGGAAGATGAGTATGACATACTCCGACTTGACAGTTCAAGGCGCCGTTGCAGTCGCCGGATGTACAAGCCTTTCCACGACCCGATGCAGCAGCAGTGCCATCGTCGTTGAAGGTGCAGTTTGTTCTCCCCCAGACTCGACCCTGCCAGTCCTCTGATACAGTCTGATTCCTCGTCTCCCCAGGTTCAAGCTTGAAGCCAGTCTCGCCTGGACCTGTGCCGGACTGCGTTCCAATACCAGGCCAGATGGGCTCGGGACACTGGTTCGTCACCAGCAGGGGTGTTATGTCCAGTTTCCTTCGATTGGTCTTCCAGGGTGCCTTAAATGCCATGTGGTGATTAGGTCCCATGTGATGAATGGCGTCGGCCATAGGCAGCGCGCTCAGGCAGAGGGTGCATAGCTGTGCGATAGAGAGGCGGTTTATAGACCGGGTATGATCCCTGTTGGACATAACAGCAGACATGATGGACTATGACTGCGCACGGCGCATGCGCAATCACAGAATAGGTCTTCGTAGTGAGGAATGGTTGCTAGGTATGTGATGCGAGGGTGCAGATCTGCTGAGCTTCGTCGCAAAGGTATAGAGATGAGCGTAAGGTTGTGAGGATGCTGAGAATAAGGCTGGGAAAGGTGGTGAGGTTAAGGGCCGGGGCCCTGCACCGCAAGCAAGGCACATATCCAAGGATTGGCTGTTGTTGGCTGCAGTGAAGAAGTCGCGACTTGGTATCCGTCAGTGACGCAATGTCGTGTTCCTGCCCCTGGCAGACAAGGGTCCAGCAAGGCTGACGGACAGCCTCACAGCCTGTCATTGGCGTCCACGCCATGGCTTTCCAAACAACGGGCCGATGAGTTGGTGGCTTGCTTGATGGTTGCATTTCCTGAGATAGGCATCTGATAAGATCTCTGGGTCTCGGTCGTTGAGCGTTAGTCAACCTTGTAGAGATGTTCGATCTTATCGATGAGTTTTGCTGCTGTCCTTTACAAAGAAATGCAAATGCGACCCAGGCACCCACCCAGATAGTTTCGCAGCAATGCAAGCTGCATTCAGGTTCTCATTGGTAGCCATGCAACGCGTGAAGCATGTGAAAGACGTGAAAGCGTCACCAAGGTACGCCGGATTATGTGTCGCACTAGATCCTGAGAAGGTCCTTCATGATGGTAATATCAATCGAGATAGGATTTTACGTCTACCTAGAAATTATGGACTGATTGGAATGTTGTGCATGCAAACTAATGCGATGGAAGTCTGTCATCCCCTGGGGCGTTAGGCGTCAGGCGTGGTCGACATGCAAACCACAACCGAAAGCATCCGGGCAGCGAAAGCATTCGGACAACGAAAGCGGACAACTAGAACATCAGTGATCCGACTATGGGCATGAGCAGAGCGCTACAAGAGACCGAGGCCAATCAGCGCATACTACGGCGAATACCAGGCGAGGGGAAATTGCATCTCCTATTCGCGGTCTGAGATTTCGTGGTGGCATCTCGGAGGTGGAAGCGCACGAATGCCGGTCTCGCCACCATTAGCTGCGGGTGGTGAGATCTGCGCATCTCTTGGCTCTCCTGACAATTGACTGATTGCTACATTACTCTCCGTACACTCCCGCGGCTTGTATTGTTACTCTACCGCGCATCCTCCCACCCTATACGCTCCTTCTCTACATCGTGCTGTGTTTTACTGCGCCGCAGCTTCTGTCCTCGGCCACCGAATTAGTGTCGCCACGCAACCGCAGCTATTCACCACACCGCCGAGACCAGTGTTTGAAGATACACCGCCGGACACATATAAACATCATTCGCCAGTCCTCTTCCTACGTACCGCAAACAACCCACCGCCGAACATAGACTTGATGTCTACAACCACCACAATGCCCGGCCGCACCCTTCCGACGATTCCGACCGCCGAGGTGCGCGCGCACAACAACGAGAAGTCCTGCTATGTTACAATCGGCACCAAGGTCTACGATGTTACCGACTTCCTTGATGGTCATCCTGGTGGCCCCGAGTTCATCCTGGAATATGCGGGCAAAGACATCGAGGCAATCCTGAAGGACGAGATCTCACACACCCATTCCGATTCCGCATACGAGATTCTCGAGGAGAACTTGGTGGGCTTCATGGTCCCCGAAAATCTTCTGAATGGCGTAGTAAAGAGCTCGAATCCTGCAGATATCGTGCCTCTGCCATCTTCCGAGGTTGGCAAGCTGGAGCTCAAGGGCATGGAACAGGACGGGAAGCCGCTGTACGAAGCAACCGGCATGTCATCTGCGGAGGATCTTTCAAAGCCGACGGATCCGAACCAGGACTACAAGCAGCACAAATTCTTGGACCTGAGCAAGCCGCTTCTGATGCAGGTCTGGAATGGTGGATTCAGCAAGGACTTTTACCTACAGCAAGTGCATCGCCCGCGCCACTACAAGGGAGGCGACTCCGCGCCGCTGTTCGGTAACTTCCTGGAGCCGCTCAGCAAGACGCCGTGGTGGGTCGTGCCATCGCTCTGGTGGCCCTGTGTCGCGTATGGAACAGCCGTTGCGTTTGGTGGACTATCCTCCGCGACGGAACTTGCTGGGTACTGGGTCTTTGGGCTGGGATTCTGGACCATTATCGAATACGTCCTGCACAGGGGCTTGTTCCATTTGGACGAGTAAGTACTGCTCATCCATATGGATCTGTCTGTACTAACATCAAGCAGCCATCTCCCGGATAACCGCGTCGCGATCACCCTCCACTTCTTGCTTCACGGTATTCACCACTACCTTCCCATGGACAGATACAGGCTCGTCATGCCACCTACACTCTTCGCTGTCTTGGCAGCACCGTTCTGGAAGTTCGCACACGCGATCATCTTCTGGAACTGGTATGCCGCTCTGGCTGCCTACTGTGGTGGTATCTTTGGCTACACCTGCTACGACATGACACATTACTTCCTCCACCACCAGAAGTATGTATACCCATAGATAACTATGAAGGACGTCGCTAACAAACTGAAGGCTACCTCCCTACTACCAGCAACTCAAGAAGTACCACCTTGCGCACCACTTCGCCGACTACCAAAACGGTTTCGGTGTCACCAGCCGCTTCTGGGACCGCATCTTCGGCACCGAGCTTGAGATGGGACCCTCCAAGGTCATCAAGTCCACTTAAATGGCGACGTACGAATAGACTTTTGTTATTAGACACCCACCTGTCACCACGTTGTCAAGACCGGCATTGAAGAAGGCGTTCAGCGGGTCTGCAGGGCCATTTTGGGTCGATGCAGCTTTGATGTTTGTAGATAACTTTATGACTCACTACCTCAGATAATAGTAATGCCAACAATCACTTCACTTCTGTTCTGTTCACCTTTCTT